CTCTTTGTAGAATTTAAAGTATTCTAGCTGGGTGAGGTAGCTCACATCTGTAATCCCAGCATCAGAAGGCTGAGGCAGAAGGATCATGGGTGGCTAAGGCAGAAGGATCATGAGTTCAAAGCCAGCTTTAGCAACTTAGCCAGGTGCTAAGTAACTCAGTGAGAACCTGTCTCTAAATTTAAACATAAAATATATAGGCTGGGGCTGGGGATGTGGCTCAAGCAGTAACGAGCTTGCCTGGCATGCGGGGAGCTCTGGGTTCGATCCTCAGCACCACATAAAATAAAATAAAAGATGTTGTGTCCACCGAAAACTGAAAAAAAAGTGTTAAAAAATTCTCTCTCTCTCTCTCTTAAAAAATATATATATATATATATAGGCTGGAGATGTGGCTCATTGGTTAAGCACCCCTGCGTTCAATCTCTGGTACCAAACAAACAAACAAACAAACAAAACCTCTACATCTTACAATGACTTTTTCATTTCCTTTTAAAAATTTTGGTTACTTTTTTTTTTTGATAGAAAATATTTGCAAAAGCAACAAAATGAAAAAAAGAGAGAAACAAAAGTGAGCCTTCTCCCATGCCCCAGCCACCCAGTCCCCTCCTCGGAAACAAATTATTATTAGTTTTTCTCTTATTTTCACTTTAAAAGCAATGATTTGGTTCCCCTATGATCTGGGAATATAGTTTGTTTTCAATTTGAGAGAATCAGAYTTAACACATAAATCAAGATGGCTATTTTGGGTCAAGTGTGTCTAGCTGAATGTGCATTTTATTGCTTTCAATTGCAGATTAGATTTCAGATTCACGTACTCCTAGAAGAAAACATGGCTAGGTCTCTGTGATTATAAGTTATGTGAAGAATTGCTTTCTTAGGTTCAAAAAAATATTTTTACCATTTATAAAAGCATTCCAATTATATCCATCTATATACACAAGCCTGTGCAGGKTTGTTTCTCCCAATCACAGTAGTGTTTATGTTAGTAATATAATGTTCCACTTCTTGGCTGATAGGACTGTTAGCTTCCAACAGAGACCATCTAGGGTTGCTGAGAGGCTTTCTCAAGTAAGTTCACTACAGCTGAAACTGTTCAAGCCATCAGGAAAAATTAATATACTGATCTCACCCTAATAACCACACCTCCTAGGACAACTAGGATTTTTTTTTTCTACTTCATTGATGAAAAGAAGGTTAATGACTCTTTCTTCAAAAGTAATTTCTTTTTCCCAGGTATAATTAGGAGAAAAACATAGCCTATACTTTGCAGGTGTGCTTAAGCACAACAGGCTCAACTATGTGAGGGAYCTRGGTCTGTGTACRTAKGTGTGTTTGTGTAYGTGTGTGCACATGTGCATGCAGATATCAGGGTATGTGGGGGTCTGTGCATCCATCTGATGTCTTTGTTCATATGTGTACCTGCGCCTCTGTGTCTATGTAAAATTTCAAATAAGGCTCATAAATCATGAAAGAAGTGATCTCTTTCATAGTTAAGGAATCTGAGGCTCGAAATGAGATGCAGTTAATTCATTAGAAAAGTCAGAGTTGGAGCACCGACTACAAAGCCCAMATTCTTTTTACCTTATAATACTTCCTGCTATATCATAGATTTGAAAAAGCTTTAAATATCATTGATTGTGAAAGCTATGTTTCTATGGCTCTTAGGGTTCAATGCACATTTCTGTTTCAGGAGTTTGACAAAGCCAATGCACAGAAAGTGCAGCAGTTGTTTTGGGAGGTCGAGGAATTGCTATTTGAGGGGAAAGTAAGCCCTCAGACTCAGAATCTAGTGGCCGAATGTGGTGAATGGGCAAGAAGATCCCTCCATCTGAGGTAGGCATATCCTCCATAGAAATTCTCTGGAATATGTTTT